TCAGTCTTTCTCTCAGCTTATATCACGAGCCATTCAAATGTTGTATGTGCGTGACCTGACAGGTTTATGGCCTGCGTTGTGTTTGGTATTATAAATTGATTTGTTCTCAGGACATCATGGACAGATATAGCATGATGATGCATTCTTATCAGAATAATCAGCGCAATGGATATCTCATTTGCTTCTTTACATGGGGTCTTGTAGCTGCTAATGCCAAATCTTATTCGGTTGTCTGACTGAATTCTGATAGCTTTGCCACGCAAGTTGGAGCCATCTTGCACCATTCAGTTCAGTCATGTAACCACGGCTTTCGCAATGATTTTGTCAGGTCCTGTGTGTCATCGCTGGGGGAATGGATTTGCTTTGGCATGGTGACTGCGACTGTATCGCAACGGCTGCTTTCATTTGGGGCCAAAGACGCGGCATAGCGATCATCAGGGATGGAAGGAAGGTCCGAAGCAAAAGGCTCTGGTTCAAGCCCCCCGTGTTGGCGAGCATCCACCCCGAAGTAGCTTTGAGCAAGACCCTGAACCTCTTCCAGCTCACTGCTCTTAAAACGACCCTGACCTCTGAACTCCCTGTGGAAAAGACAAGGGAGAAAAATGGGTTTTAATGAAAAAAAGGGATGTGAAAGAGTCAGTTTCTCAGGGTTTGTTTTCAGTGTGAGGTCATTGAAATATTGTGAAATGTAACAATAAATTACAGTCTGATAATTTTGGGTGAGTATAGGGACAGAAATGTCGGCCTATTAGATTGGTCAAAGTGGTTTTGATTTGACTGTACTATGTATAATGCGGGTTAAAGTTGTCGCATATTGCTTTTATAAATCCATTCCTACAGAATATATGCTATTGCAGTGTTATAAAAACGAGTCACACACTCTGTGTTTAGGACTCATACCCCCCCTCTGTCTGTGGTCAGCTGATGAACTTCTGCACGCAATGGTCTGCTGACCCACTGCATCAGATCAGGTGTGTGTGTGTGTGTGTGTGTGTGTGTGTGTGTGTGTGTGTGTGTGTGTGTGTGTGTGTGTGTGTGTGTGTGTGTGTGTGTGTGTGTGTGTGTGTGTGTGTGTGTGTGTGTGTGTGTGTGTGTGTGTGTGTGATGAAGAGTTACAGGATGTCTGAGTTTCTCCCAGTCGGTCAATGTTTTAGTTGCTATGGAAATGTGATGAGCCAAGTTTGTAATTTCTCAGAGAACATACACACTCTTTGTGAAACACACACACACACACACACACACACACACACACACACACACACACACACACACACACACACACACACACACACACATGCTTGCTCACTCATAATGTTTGAATGCACTGTCTGAGGATTACATGTGGTGTCAAAGCTGTCCAACTAAAATGTTAAGCTAGTTTCAGTTTTTAAAACGAATCAAAATGCAACCAGAAAAGGATAATCAGTGAACAATATTCATGTTAACTCTTCTTCTCACAGTTTGAGAGCCACCAATTCTTAATTTTTGTATTTAATTGCAAGACTGATGAGACCACTTTAAATTAGGATTTTGACTTGGGCAAAACATATTGAAGAGGAAGTTACACATCCTTTGTTACTTGGGACTTTCTCCAATAGGATCAATGATAATGAATCCTGTATATGAAAATGCTATTTTGTCTGACTGTGTACACATGTATCTGTGTGAGTGTGTATCTGTGTGAGTGTGTATCTGTGTGAGTGTGTATCTGTGTCAGTGTGTATCTGTGTGTGTGTTTGAGAGAGACAGTGTCGTGTCAGTGTTGGGTCGTGAGGAGGTGGGGAGGTGGGGAGGTGAGCCACTCAGTGAGGCTTTGTGGTGGCGCTCCAGTGAGGTGAAATTGAGTTTGGCCTGTCTGCAGAGCTAATCAGCTCTGTCTGGCCTGAAACCCGATCACTCACAGACATGAAAGACAAACCCATGCTGAAATAGACCAGGGTGGGAAGTGACCGCCGACCAGCATGCAGATGCGGACGTTGCTGATGTGTGTGTTAGTCTACAAGGGAGGCCTCCGCCAGACAGACAGTTGCTGGAATCAGCATTGCATTATAATCCAATAAACTGTAATTGTAATATAAACATGGCTATTAAACTCATATTTGCTACATAAAACTCTTTACAAAGGAATATTTTTGCGGTTTCTGGAAGGTCCATTTCTACGTTTATTTTCAATTTGTGCATAACAAATGGAAAATAAGGAGCCACTCCCCACGCCCCTCTGAGAGATGTTTGGTTAAAAAGAACACAATGGTGCTCTAGGAGGAGATGCAGGTGATAAGGTGGGGGGTGGGGGGGTGGGGTGGGGGAGGTTACCTTGGTTGGTGATTGGCTAATAGTTACACAAGCCAAACATTTGATGACATCATAAAGTGGCCAAAATCTGATCAGCTCATTTTCAGACAGGTTTTTATATAAATGGATCAGGACGAAAAGAGAGAGGGTCTTGGTTCCTGAAACTTTCAGAATCTCTTTACACAGAGGGGACACATGTTGATGTATACAAGACATGAAAAAGTGGATTTTGCATAATAGGTGACCTTTAAGTAACAGTGAAGAAAGGGGGAAACAGAGGGCAGGATACGCCCATTTTTACTGTTGGAAAAACACGTGATTTATCAAACCTAACAGCAGGTTGTAGTATTTTGAGGGATAGAGAGCAGAAAATCCATATTATCTGTTTCTTTACATAGTTTTTAAATGATCCTTCCACAGTCAATTCCCCTCTTTACATTATTTTGTGAGTTTTACATCACCTAATTGCCATAATGGTGCATTAATAATGAAACATCCCCAAAATGTATCAGTTGTATTTTTTCAGGCTTATAACTTATACATTTAAACAAAAAGATAGTGGCCATCGATACCCCCTGCCCCTTCCGCCCTGATAGAATCAAGATTGCTTTTACAGCGGGTCGTATTACTGCGGAAGAGATCTGCTCTGGCTTAAAACAACCAGATCACTTGTGTGAGTGTGTGTGTGTGTGCGTCTGTTAGCTTGTACGAGCGTGTGCATTAGTCGTGCGTTTGTGTGTGTTTGCGTACAGCCTGATAGGTTTAGGGGCCCATAAACCTCTTGGTCAAGTGGGCCTGACCCTGCTGCAGATTATTGCGTTTGACCTCCGACCCCGTACATACTGTGCTTCTCGTGTGTGTATGTCTTTGTTTATAGGCATGCAGGTGTCTTTCCATGACCTTTCAATCCAATATGCTGCGGCTCCGAGCCCTATTTACGCGCGTGTGTGTTTGTGTGTGTGTGTGTGTGTGTCGCTCTAAGCTAAGCAGTATAGGAGTCCAATAACCCGGTACATTTCCACCCCTCACCCGCTTCTTCTGGTGGAGAAGAAAAAATAGGAAAGTGGGGGAGGGGAAACAGAGGAGGTGGGGGGGGGGGGGGGGACCAAGCCAAGGTGAGTAACATTTCGTCATGTAAAGATAAAACCTGGTAAAAAAAGGAGAACCTTGAGCGTACGAACAATTGTCGGAAAGTATGAAATTGGAAAGAAATGGGAGAATAAACGGAAGGAAAGTGAGCCTGTTATCTCCCCCTGCTCCCACCCTTCCTTTCACATGTGCTCATCTCATACAGGAACAAGCATTATACACACACACACACACACACACACACACACACACACACACACACACACACACAGAGAGTTATGCTACAACCCAGATGGTCGCGAAGCTGCATCATTATACTGGAGGCAAAAGTTGAGGAGTATAATCCAAAAGAAAAAAACGACTGGAGCTGCTCTCAGAATAGTGTGTGTGTGTGTGTGTGTGTGTGTGTGTGTGTGTGTGTGTGTGTACGGCTCACAGTCCCCATGCACACTGTATTAGGGGCCAGCTGGGTTGGCCTGCTCGCTACACATGAGCCTTATTATGACTCAGGATTGCATTACTGACATTCTTCCATAGCTCTTTCTCTATTCCTCTTTATCCCTCCCTCCCTTCTTTTTCTTTATCTCCCTCCCTCTATCTCTCCCTCTTTTGGCTGTGCAGATTTGCTGAGCAACCACCTCCCCCCCCCCCCTCTCCCTCCCTTCCTCCCTACCCCTCCCTTGACCCCCTCAGTAAAGCCCAAACGCCCGACACGTGATCCCTTACGGCTTCAGGTCGAATCACGCCACCGTTTTTTTCTTTCAGCTTTGCAAAACCTCGAAGACGCCAGAGTGCGTTACACATGTTGCTCTGGTCCTAACACTCTCGTATAGTATTTCACATACATCTGAGTAGGAGGAGGAGGAAGAGGAGGAGGAGGAGGAGGAGGAGGAGAAGGGGGTAGAAATTAAAACCGTTGGGCAGCTCAAAGAAAATGTCATTGGATGCATTGGAATAAGAGATGTGTGTGTTTTCAGTGATTGGCTTAGTAGTTTGAGCTTGTTCCCCTCTATCCATGTGTGTGTGTGTGTATGTGTGTGTGTGTGTGTATGTGTATGTGTGTGTGTGTGTGTGTGTGTGTGTGTGTGTGGGCGTGTTTTAGGGAGAGGGACTGTTACTTTTGGGTCGGTAAAAGGAGCTGACGATGATCTTTTTTCGGGAGCGATGGAGGATTTGAACGCCGCTCTGAAGATAAGAGTGTAAAGTACGTGACAGGTAGCAGCTCACCGTTTTAAAAATCCCACACTGGGTTAATCCAGTGTGAGGAGGAGGAGGAAGGAGGAGGAGGAGGAAGGGAGGGAGGGAGGGAGGGAGGAGAGGAACGGCGGCTCATACCACTCCTCGCATCTCAGCCTGTATGCTGCCCAGCACGAGAAGAAGGGGCAGGCTGACTCTCTTTCGCTCTGTCTCTCTTTCAGTCTTCCTCTGTCACTTCCTCCTCCCCCCCTCTTCTTCCCTCTTACCTCTCTCCTTGCCAATCTGTCCCTCCCTCCCTCTCTTCCTGACTTCCTTTCCTCCCCTCCTCCTCCTCCCTCTCCCTCTCCCTCTCTCTCTCCCTCTCCCTCTCTCTCTCTGTCTCTCTGTGTCACTGGAGAGCGTCTCAGTGTGAAAATGCCATCCTGCTCTCCAGACTGTTGCCTCTTTCAGGCTGTGGAGGTAAGAGACTTGTGTGTGTGTGTGTGTGCGTGTGTGCGTGTGTGTGTGTGTGTGTGCGTGCGTGCGTGTGTGCGTGTGTGCGTGTGTGTGCGTGTGTGCGTGTTCCTTTCTTTCCTGGATGTCCGTCGGGAGCTGTGCGTGTGTTGGTGTGTGCGTGTGTTGGTGTGTGTGTGTGTGTGTGTGTGTGTGTAGGCTTATCAGTATTGCAGCGATGAGGACCTTTTTCTTCCCCTCTCAGTGTTCCTAAAACTTTCTTCAAACAAAACTCATGCGTCATGAAATCACTTTTTTCTAACGGGGGCGTGAGTGCAGAGAGGAGGGAGTCTTCGGGCTTTGCAGAGCGCTGTGACGTTGTTTCTGCTTGAATTCAGACTCTGTCTTCGCGACGCCGCGCTGGTGTTATGTGTCATTTCTAGGCCATCGCTGCTGTCGTTTTTTCCTTTTTTTTTTTGTTGCTGTTTTGTGTGTTTCCACTTCGTGCTGCCATTGTTCCATTTGATTTTTTTTTTCGTACATCCCCCTTCCCCCCTTTCCCCTCCGGCCCTCGCCCATCACTAAGCTTTGTGTCTTGTTTCATGTCATTTTCAACAGTTGTTCCCTGGTGGTTTTGTGTGAAGTGCAGGGCCGCAGGATCCCTGCTGTGGACTGAATATGTTGAGTATGTGGGTGTGTGAGGATACATGCACTAACATACACACACACGACTTCTCTGTGATATGTGGAAGATGATATTAGTCGTCTTTGCGTTTTGCAGCCACTTTCCCATGTTCATTTGATCATATGTACGTGTGTGTTGCATGTGGGAGCTCTCTCTCTCTCTCTCTGTGTGTGAATCTACTCATACAGTGGTGTGAAGCAGCTGGTCGGTGGTTATCTGTGCAGCAACACACTCGGTGAAAATTACACCCGATTTTAAATGTCGCTTGTTGCAGAAATGGTTTAAAATGGCGCAACAATGGGAGGTACTCTGGCTTTGAATCATACCCGCTTGCTGCTCCCAGCCGTGAAATGTTTAGGGACAAACAGCAACATGTGTAAACAACACACTGCGTTACTTCGCTGTCCGTGTGTGAATACGTGTTTCTTCTACTTTTCACATTGTGGATATTCTCGCATGTGACAGAAAACGTGTTGTTGTGGGTTTACATGTGTGTTTGGTGGATGTGCGTGTGAGTACGTTTGGTTGAGATGTGGACAAAAGGGTTGAACTGAGAGCACAGGGGCAGACCTTTTCCTGGACGTCATTTTCCTTTTTTTTTTAAGCGGCTCTCATGTTGGAGGGATAGAGTAATGTGAACAGGACTTTTTTTTTCTTTCTAAGAGTGGACACAGCACCTGGTTATGGAGGTAAATGTCCCCGTTGATGTGTTACATTTTGCCGTTTTCTCTGTGGATTCTAATTTTCAAAATGTCGCGCTTTTTGGACTGTTTTAGACTTTCTTATATGACCCAAATGCTTTTTATTCACATATAGCCTCACCGTTATCCTCATGTGTTGTTCAGATAGTGAAGGTGTGGAGCGAGGATGGGGCCGGTAAAGTGGTGGAGATCCCGGCAGACATGACGTCCAGAGACGTGTGCCAGCTCCTGGTCTACAAGAGCCACTGTGTGGACGACAATGCTTGGACACTGGTGGAGCACCACCCCATCCTGGGCCTTGGTAAGGATGTGTGTGTGTGCGTGCGTGCGTGTGTGTGTGTGTGTGTGTGTGTGTGTGTGTGTGTGTGTGTGTGTGTGTGTGTGTGTGCGCGTGTGTGTGCGCGTGCGTGTGCGCGTGCGCGTGCGCGTGCGTGTGTGTGTGTGTGTGTGTGTGTGTGTGTGTGTGTGTGTGCGTGTGTGGTGGATATGTAAGCCCCAAAACATGGATTTGGCACATCGTCTCACTATATTCATCTGCATTCATTATATGCAATGATGTAGCATAACCTTAACCCCAATTTACCACCACTAATACAAGCCTAAATCTCTCTACTAAAATGTAGCATTCATTCATTCTGTCTTTACTCATGCTCTTTTTTGATTGATTATATGCAACGATGTAGCATTTTAAGTCTGACTTAGTCTGACCCCCACTATGACCCTAAATCCCTCTTACATTATCAGTTATATTATCCAAAAGCAGAATTCGTTTTTTTTTCTCTTTCAGTTTTAAGGCTATTTGTAGAAAGCTGTGATAGATAATATGTTAAAATCAGCCTTAAGAAAGTGGATAAAAGCCAATCTGCAAGTTAAAAAAGGCTAACACTCCTTGTATGTGTGTATGTAGTGGGCTTTTAAGAGTATATGTATTTTCTGCAGGTGTGTTTCAGTCTTGTATGTCTGTGTCTATACCCCTTTTGTGCGTCTTTGCCTGGTTGGGGATACGCTCTTGTGTGTACCCTCAGTGTGTATGTTCACTTGAGCATGGCACGAGTGCTCGTATGCCTTCAATACGGCTCTGGGAGGGAGGTGTGGTAGTCTTAGGATTAAACATTTTCCATGTTCTGCTCACATGCCTGTTCCCTCCCAATAATTCGACCAGGGGACGGGGGGACGGGGGGTAATGGAGGGAGAAAAAAAAAACACTAGACTCATGCTTCGCTTCATCACTTTTGCCGTGTTTCCGTTTGAAGATTTATTTATTCATATTTATTTTCACGGGGTCCGTCTTTGTCCTCGGTGAGACTTTCCTACTACCCGAGTCGTATTTTTAGAGTCAAAGGCTCGCTTTGTGCTTTTGCTGCTTGATCTGTGTTTCTGGAAAAAAAAAAAAAGAAAAGGACTGAAGAAATGGAATGTGAGGTGAGGAGAGGGAGGAAGGGAAAGAGCGAGAGATGAAGAGAGAAAGAAAAGAGAGGCAGAGAGAGGGAGGGAGGGGGAAGGGAGAGGCCTGGACTGAAGCGTCATACCAGGGCTGAGAGGAACCAATCGCGCCTCTCCGTTGGACGAGCCCCTAGCCCGGCCAGCCAATAAATCTTTCCTTAACCCTCCACAGGAAATTCCCCTGCTTGCAGATGGCACATGCACACAAACACACACGCACACACGCACACACACACACACACACTCCAAACCTAAAGTCAGAATGATTTTAACAGCAAGAAAAGCGACAGCAGTTCTATCAATATATATGTTTGTATTGTGTGAGTGTGCAAGGAAGAATTCGTGCTGATTCCAGGTTGCCATTATTCAGTGTGTGTGTGTGTGTGTGTGTGTGTGTGTGTGTGTGTGTGTGTGTGTGTGTGTGTGTGTGTGTGTGTGTGTGTGTGTGTGTGTGTGTGTGTGTGTGTGTGTGTGTGTGTGTGTGTGTGTGTGCGCATATGCAGAACTAGAACATCCTGTCACTATCTATTTCTATGCGGCCTCACTCTGAGACCATATGCCCCTCAACTCCAACAAAGAGGACAACACACACACACACACGCACACACACACACACACGCACACACACACACACACACACACACACACACACACACACACACACACAGAGACATGGTAATTGTGCCTGTGTGGTGCAGGTTAGGCTCTTAATGTGTGGCTGTGTTTGTCTGTGGCTTGTTCTTGTGCTTATGGCTTCGCTGCTCTCAGCAATCAGCCGAAATACATGACATCATCTTCCTGCAATGCCCTCCCCCCCTCCCTCCTCCTCCTCCTCCCCCCCCTCCCTCTACATCTCATGCCGCCTCTCCACCTTCACCTCCTCCCTTCCCCGGCTCACACCGCCCCTCCTCATTTAACCTCTTGCAGCCTTTGCTCGTCTCTTGGTAACGGCCAGTTTTGTTCTTGCTGTTCCATTGCCAACAATAACAGAATAACATGTGATCCGTTTGTCCTTGATTTCAAATGTCATGTGCAGTACAGAGGCTTTTACCGTACTATTAATTCACATCAAGGAGTTTTATGGAGCTTAGAAAAAGTGGTAAACCCTGTTTTCTTTATTCTTTTCCCATGTTATACCAATTTACACGGAACAATACCCAGATTCTTGTTTTTTTAAAGTACTAGATAATAACTGGTTTAATTGTTCTAGCCAATAAGAAGTTGTTATGTGTCTTGCTGCCAGAGGACACGGCTCAAAACAGTTACAGTAAACAAAGTCCTCTGGTGACAATGACATGCTTTCAATATTAAAATGAGGGGAGAGAAGAAATGCATGTGTCAACAATAACAGAATAACATGCGATCTGTGTACGCTTGATTTTAAATATCATGTGCAGTATTTGAGGCTTTGACTAATTCACATCAAGGAGATTTATGGAGTTTAGAAAAGTGTTAAACCCTCGATTAAAAACACTCCTTCTTTCCATATTACACTGTTTTACACTGAAGAATAAAAGACAAGATAATTGATTTCCATTTGTTTCCCGCACATTAAAAGTTGTTGTGTTTCTTGCTGCTAGAGGACACGGCTCAAAACAGTTACAGTAAACAGTCCTCTGTTGACAAGGACATGCTTTCAATATTGAAAAGAGAGGAGAGAGGAAATGCAAAAGAGCTGCTTGTTATGCTGCAGATCAGCCCTAAGAAGACCAAAACAACAAAGAGTCAAACTTAAATTAGTTTCTGTTATATTTGTTTATTGATGATAAGAGTGTGCACTGTTTTTTAAATCTGTGTTTGTTCATCCCAGCAATTTTAAAGGTCCGCTATTATACAGTTTTTTATCAATATATTATAGGTCTCAGATATATACAAAACATGTCTCTGATTGCCTCCAAACACCAAACAGATCATTGCAGCATCCCATAATCCCCTCTGTTTCAGCCCTGTTTCCAAAGTGCTGATTCTCTGTCTGTTACTTTAGATGAAAATAAGGAGCCCCTCCCCACGCCCCTCTGAGAGAGATTTGGTTAAAAAGAACACAATGGTGCTCTAGGAGGAGATTCAGGTGATAAGGGGGGGGGGGGGGGGTTACCTTGGTTGGTGATTGGCTAATGGTTACACAAGCCAAAAAATCATTATGACATCATAAAGTGGCCAAAATCTGATCAGCTCATTTTCAGACAGGTTTTTATATAAATGGATCAGGACAAAAAGAGAGGGGGTCTTTTTTCCTGAAACTTTCAGAATCTCTTTACACAGAGGGGACACATGTTGATGTAGAAGAGAGATGAAAAAGTGGATTTTGCATAATAGGTGACCTTTAATGACTAACAGTGTGTGTGTGTGTGTGTGTGTGTGTGTTCACGCAGAGAGATGTCTGGAGGACCACGAGCTGGTGGTTCAGGTTCAAGCCTCCATGAGCAGCGACAGTAAATTCCTCTTCAGGAAGAACTATGCCAAATATGAATTCTTCCGAAACCCCCTGGTGAGTCTCTCGCATCCCTAAAGAAAAGTTATTTCTGGAACTGCCTCATTTTAGCACGCATCCCAAAACACACACACACACACACACACACACATACACACACAAACAAGACTATGCTTTCATGCCAAACCATTACATTGGATTGCTTTTTGCCAAATGATTTGGTACATCTGTTCTTTAGCAAAATGCGAATGTCTTTACGCTAACAGGCTGATGTTCGGCAGCTTTAATGTCTACTAGTTCAGCATGCTAACATTTGCTAATTAGCACTTAACCCCGAGTACAGCTAAGGCTAACGGCAATGTCCTCAAGTAATTAATTAATTTGACACAGCAACAGTACAGGCATCATAACATATTATTGTTTAAAACATGGTGGTTATTAATAATGCTTTCTGTTGAATTAAGTTGCAATGCTATTAGCGTACACACACGATGCTCTTATTCTTTGTCAGGATCCACATTAGCACTAGCATGAGCATTGGCTATTCTTCCTGGGGTCAAATACAGTCAAACATACATAAAAAACAGCTCATAACTTCATGCAATTCAAAATGAAGTGAAAACAACAATTATCATCCTATTTTAACCATCATTAAGCCAAATATAAATAATACAAACAGTCGAACATCCCCCAGACACAGTTCATTTATACTTTATAATACAGAGATGTTTGAAATGATTTGACATGCCGTGTTAGCTGTTCTTCAAGGCTCTGTTTGGTACATCTGTTATTTAGCGAAATGCGAATGTCTTTACGCTAACAGGCTGATGTTCAGCAGCTTTAATGTCTACTAGTTCAGCATGCTAACATTTGCTAATTAGCACTTAACCCCGAGTACAGCTAAGGCTAACGGCAATGTCCTCAAGGAATTAATTAATTTGACACAGCAACAGTACAGGCATCATAACAAATTATTGTTTAAAACATGGTGGTTGTTAATAATGCTTTCTGTTGAATTCAGTTGCAATGCTATTAGCGTACACACACAATGCTCTTATTCTTTGTTAGGATCCACATTAGCACTAGCATGAGCATTGGCTATTCTTCCTGGGGTCAAATACAGTCAAACATACATAAAAAACAGCTAATAATTTCATGCAATTCAAAATGAAGTGAAAACAACAATTATCATCCTATTTTAACCCCAGACACAGTTCATTTATACTTTATAATACAGAGAGGATTTTTAGCAAACTTTGAACTGAATAATATGGACCTGCAATGAATTCCAGCCGACCATGGCTATGTATATGACTGTTTTCGCTTTATGTTCAGTGGGTTTTTCTCCTGATTTTTTAGCTGAAACTCATTTTACGTATGCGCTTATTCCAAGTTTGGTTGAGAGGGCGCGTTGTTCATCACTTTAAGGACACAGACCTGCCTCTCACAGCGGGCCCTTCAGCGTTAGCTTGCGTGGCATCTTTTGCTGATGTGGACTCAGCATGAGGCTCCGCTGTTGCGTGCAGCCCGGGGTGTACAGTGACAGTGTTGCCGCGGTGATTTAGGTGTGTGTCAGAGCCAGCAGGTGACCTCAGCTCTGTGGTAATGAGCACAGTAAAACACCAGAGTGCTGGCCAGGGCCTGTCAATCACGCTAAGAGTAGCGCTGCTGGCTAAAGGGGATTACATCAGCGGGTGAGATCATACTGCACCTACTCCCGGGCTGGAGTGCCCTCTCTTCGCCCCCACCACTTTGTCTCTTAGCCCTTGTGCTCAACACACACACACACACACACACACACACACACACACACACACACACACACACACACACACACACACACACACACACACACACACACACACACACACACACACACACACACATACACATACACATACACATACACATACACACACACACACAGCAGAAAGCGAGACGTATTCTGCATAGAGAAACATTACCCCACTCTGAGCTTGCATATGCACTAAGTGGTTTCTAGTGCCTCTTTCTCTCCCTCTCACTCATTGTCAGTGTCTTTGTGTGTTTTTCCATCCAGAACTTTTTTCCAGAGCATATGGTGGCCTGGTGTCAGGAGTCTGACGGCTCGATCCCTCAGTCACAGCTCTTACAGGTGAGGCCATGACATGTGAAGGGACACGTACGTAAACCTTGAATAGCACACAGTTGCAGACTTGATTCATTACCTTAATTCAACTCTTAATTAGCCATTATGAAGAGAAAATTATAGTAGTTAAATGCTGTCGCCTTTTATCTTTGTGAGGACATCTGGTAGTCCACAAATATGCCTGCACACACACAGTGCCTGACATCTGCTAATTACATTCATCCAGTGTTGTTACAGCCGTTTTATTAGGAATATATACAAAAACCTGCCTCATTTTTCCACCGCAACCTCTTAACATAAACACATTTTTTTTATAAAGAATCCTCCTTGCACGACTAGTTTCCAGGCTGAAACACAAACATTTGTGATCTGTACATTCAGTTCTTCTGCCTCAGTGTTGCTTAAATATGTTGTTTTGTTGCAGAACTTTCTAAACTCCAGCAGCTGTCCAGAGATCCAGGGCTATCTGTCCGTGAAGGAGCCCGGCCGCAGGTCCTGGAGGAAACTCTACATGTTCCTGCGGCGCTCCGGGCTTTACTACTCCACTAAAGGAACGTCCAAGGTGAGGATTTACAGCTCAGTCTAAAACTGGGATGTAGTCGAAATTGGGGGTTTAACTTTTTAGTTAATTCCTATTATGATCGAAAAACCCTTTGTTTTAAATAGTCACACATTTTTAAGATCTTAGTCTTGTTTGCAGTGAAATTAGAGTCTTTATTGTGTCATTTAAACAAACCTTAACTTATTGGTTTTCACTTCAAATAAAACCAGTAACTGACGGAGAGAGCAAAAACTTGCTCTGAGCTTATGATGCGTTCAAGTACTTGGCAAGCCGTTCCTCTGTCTTCGGTGTCTTCATGAGCTTTTAGTCGTAATGTGGAAACAACATGGACACAACTTGTTGCTCCATCTTGAGGGGATCTTTCACACAAAGTTTTCCAGATTGGAACACGTTGTTCTGATTATCCCAACACCCAAATAGTGCAGCACAAACGCCTTATCTTGCTTTGTCAAGTGTTACAGAGTGAAGTCACTGTGTTACAGAAGTAAACAACAGAGTCCAATGGAGGCGTTTCAGGCAGGGGGGTGTTTGGGAGAGGGAACTTTGGGATGTTAGCCTTTACAGATCAGTTACATGCACACAAACCTATATAACACACAACAGGAAAGGGAAAACTTTTAAATTGCCTGTAGGATTTTCTTTGCGTTGTTGCTTACATTTTTTCCCCCACAACCTAACAGGAGCCCCGACACCTGCAGCTGCTCTCAGATCTGGACGACAGTAACATCTTCACCATCATCTCAGGCAAAAAACTCCACAACTGTCCCACAGACTTCCAGTTCTGCATCAAGGTAACACACAAGACAACACTGCAACCAGAGCCATTCAATTCAACCATTATTGGAGATTGGCCCTCATGACAAATTAAATAAATCTGCCAGGTTGCATGTGACCATTTTGCTCTTTCTAATACAAATAAGTTTAGTAATTTAAATGTGTATTGTTTAGTAAATAGAAATGTCAAGAGACACTGATCAATATAACCGTCCTTAACAGATGCACCTGCTTCCCCTCAACATGCACTGTATCTCGTGTGTGTGTGAGTGTGTGTCAGTTAAAACTGCCCAGCGGGGGGGTTCAAACACACACTCAGCACTGTATATCCCACTCCTGTGGTGGGTCACCTGCTGATCTGGGATAAGCCCACTGAGATAAGCCAGGATGGTACAGGGAATCTGGCCCGCCTAACCCCTTCACCTCTACCTCATACACACACACACACACACACACACACACACACACACACACACACACACACACACACACACACACACACACACACACACACACACACACACACACACACACACACACACACACACACACACACACACACACACACACACACACACACACACACACACACACACACACACACACACACACACACACACAGCGGGGGGTGGCAGTGCAGGATCGGGTTAGGGATTTTACTTGCCGTCTGGGGGGTTGCTGGATGTTGCTATGGTGACATGAATTAATTTATCGCTAGGGGTTGCATCTTACGTCCGTGTGACAGATGGAGGTCTGTGCTGTGATGCTGGTATGGACCTTGTACTTTGGAATTTTAGCCTTTAGCATTTACATTTACAAAAAACTATAAAACACACTTCAGGAAAGGGAAAACCCCAAAGAGCATACACATAAAAACGGTCTATAAAGAAGTGATTAAAAAGAGATTACTGATTCTGGTTATGCAGTCTTGCCCTGCCATGTCACAGGTTGGAACATTCGGAAAGTGAAATGCCAGAAACGACCAAAGAGGCCTTTTCATGTTCCTGATGATCATTAATGTAGTGTCCCGCTGTGTCTTCTGTTTGGTGTACAGTCCAGCAAAGTGAGGAGTGACTGCAAGGAGCTGAAGATGCTGTGTGCCGAGGACGAGCAGAGCAGAACCTGCTGGATGACGGCCTTCAGACTGCTCAAAGTACTTCCTTTTCTTATACTAGATACTGCTTTTTCAAACCAAAACCCTAACAGTAACTATAAAATCATGTAGGTTCCCTTTTCTTGCTGCATTAACATGAATTGATCTGTCAGTTCTTGTAATCATCAGTTAATAACCCCCCCCCCCCTTTCTCTTATTTCTCACAGTATGGGATTGTCCTTTATCAGAGCTACAACGTCCCCCAGCAGAGGAAGTCCAATCTTTCGCCTTTTACAGCACCTGTGGTGAGTATCTGAATCACCTTCGTATAACCCAATAGAGATTTCTCGATCCATAAACGATTACATATGGCGGCCGACACGTGGTACAAGGGCCCACAACATTTCCATTAGGAGAAACACGATGCAGTTTTAAAAACGAAGCAAATAGAAAAACACAAATGTGCACAGACATATGCAAATAAAGAAACATCTTCACTAATTTGAGAACACATGCGCAACGTTTAGAAAACATTCACCAACTTGACGAAACATCGTAGCGTTTGCAGCGTTTTGGCTTTGCAGCGTTCACGTTTATTGAACCCTTTAGTTGAATGTTTTCTAAATGCTGTGCATGTGTTGGTGAAGATGTTTCTTCATTTGCACATTTGTGTTTTTATATTTGCATTGTTTTTGAAAGTGCAGCGTGTTTCTCCTAAGTGTTTTGGGCCATGGTAGCCACCGTACTTATGGTCAGAAATCAGAGTTTCTTTGTCCAACAGCATTGACATGTCCATGGTTGAAACTAAGGGAATTGGTGCATTGACTCACTTTTTTGCTACCTTGTTTCTGGCTTTTCTTTCGAGGAAATGAAAGATCTATAAATGCACATATTTCAATTTGTTGGCAGATTAAAACAATTCTGACATGCTGATTCCCACTTTGCCATTTTCCATTTAATTGTACGTTAAAAATAAAACATTGTCTGTAAAATAATTTATATTTCCTCTAATGTGGCTCTAAGTTTAAGGCCCTTCTCTCACTCAAAATCTCAGAGGAACCAAGACGAGTGTGTGCATGAACCGTACGTGTGTGGATATACTCTCTGTAGAGGTTTGAGTGTATTTGTGTATGTATGTGTGTGTGCATGGCTGAACTGTGTATCGGTTTGGACCTGTGTCTGATCAGTCGCTGCATCTCCACCTTGATCACTTCTATTTAGCATAAAAATATGAATTGTAAAATGCTTAAGTGATGTTTGATCCTAACAATCACCACTGCTGTTTGACATTTGATTAGAGGTGACAAAAGCGCTTTTTAGTGAAAGGCTTACGGTCCAGATTCAGGTCAAACAAACAACAGTCTATAACTAAAGAACATCCGATACAAAACATCTTATCCCAGATTTATTTTTAAAAGTGAACGCTTACATAATGTTAAGACACGTATGCTGTTAAAATATGACATACACAGCAAACTGCACACGTAAATGCTGTGCAACACCAGGACTAATCACTTAGCAGCAGGAGGTGTTTTGTCCTTTTAACAACAAATCAGTGTTTTCATTATCCTTTGACCTTCTTTTATTTGAGATCACTTTACTAGAAAAAAACTAATCCCAAGTCTCTTTACATTTAATTTCCTGAAGCCTTGTGGGGAAGGTGCTTCTGTCTTTGCAAAAAGATTTTTAAACAATATACAATTGTTCTATAAAAGGCATTGTCTTCCTTAAGAAATTTCTTTGTAATTGATACCCCTTGTCGAGTCCATAAATGGGTCATAAAGTTTAAGTTGCAGAATATACAAAAAGTGTGTCTTGGAACTTCTTGGACATTATTATGTGTTTTAAGTCTTGCTAGTTATGATAACGACTGCTCTGAGTGAAAGACAAGTATTTAATTCACCTTATTTTCAGTTATTATTAAGAACAAATCTAAGAAAATGTCTCGCCGCAGAACCAGAGAGGCTTGTGCTTTTCCTCAGAGGGGCGTTTTGAGGGTCTGTGTGCAGACAGGATTTGTCATGCCCCAGTGACTGTGTCTGGCTTGTTTGACCTCTGACCCTTGTCTCTCCCCCACCCATCACCACCACCCCTCCACCCTGCTCCTTGTGTACTCCCCCTCCTCCTCCCCCACTCCCCACTCCCCACCTTTCCCTCCCTCCTCCCACCCTGCCACGTCTCCTCCTCACAGCGGAGTGTGTCTGAGAACTCTCTGGTGGCCATGGACTTCTCCGGGAGGACCGGGCGGGTCATCGACAACCCCCTCGAGGCCCAGAGCGCCGCCGTGGAGGAGGGACAGACGTGGAGGGTAAGAGGCGGGGGCAAAAATAAGAAATCTGAACCCACAGATAATAATCTCCAGTTGTTTAATGTGATAAACACAAAGGGGTCGTTTCCTGCAGGGTTTATAAAAGCCATTTTATCATCAACTTCCTCTTGGTTTCGTTTGTATTTGATCCTAATCTCCCTCAAGCTACTTTCTAATAGGACTGTGTCAATGTTTCTGTGTTGCAAAATTATAACAACATATTAATATTAAAATGGCCACTTTATATATTTTTAAAGAGGTGGAAGTCAGAGAGAAGTCACGTTTTTTTTAAGTAATAACTGCCTTTTCTTTTATGGCCCAAACTTGTAATATCGTTAACACCCAAATATTACAAAAATGTATGAAACTACTTGGATCATTTTTCAGATATAATTATAGTTGATCTAGCACGGGCCACTACAAACAAAGTTAAACTACGTATTAATTACATGCATCTCAGTATTCCCTATCAGTACCTATCATATTTTGTGTGTGATCACGTAAGAGTGAAAGCCTTTTTCCATCTTGACCTAATTACATTTTTCCCTGCATCACTTTTCTCTGTAAAATCAAGTGTGCAGCAGCTCCACTTATCTGTTGCTGAGATCACAGCTCTGATGAGGATTAAGCAGAAAGCAGCTGCTCACTCCAATTCTTTTTTTGGTTGTGGTTGACGACTGTACAAAAACAAATCCTGCAAAATGTAAATCTTTAAAGTGGACCTATCATGCTATATTTGAATAATATAGTGTAGGGCCATACCTATATAAGGCATATTTATACTTTTTTTTTTTCAAAATACCAAACAGATCATGCATTTTAGCCATGCCTCATTTTGCTCAATTTGACATTTTTTAGCTCTGTTTTTGCAAGGGCTGATTCTGTGAGAACAGCACCATCTACTGGCCTGGCATATGTACTACAGCGTCTCCAGCGCTTTCGAACGGCCATGGCCGTGGCTGTCTCCTCCTGATTGGTGGAGTTGGCCCAATAGCCGTAGCGCCACTGTCCTGACGTCAGGACAGTGTTCAAATCTGGATCAGTTTTTATCAGATCCGTTGCAGCCCCTTTTTTAGAGATTTGGGTATGGAGGAAAATAGAGAGGGTTGTGTTTTCTGACACTTGGTGAGTTCCCTGGAACACCGGGGACACATTCATGTATAAAAGACGTACAAAAGTGCATTTTGCATGATAGGTCCCCTTTAAATTTTGGTTCAGCCCAATTTCCATGTGCCATTATGGAAAGGAAAAGTCAATATACGTTGTCATCTTTTAATAATTGTTGCCCTTTCTTCCACATAGAAACGGAGCCAGCGTATGAATGTCCTGGGCAGCTCGAGCCCCCTGCACCCCTCTCTGAGCACAGGTACTCCAACTTCAGACCCCAGCCAAATGCATTAGATAGTCTTAGTGTTTATTGTGTGTTCAGTTTTTCTTGCAGATGTAAAAGTATTAGGAGTATGAGAAAAGTGTGAGTCACAGATGTCTGTCTTTCAGTGATCCACAGGACACAGGTATGGTTCCATGGTCGCATCATGAGGGAGGAAGCCCACAAAATGATCATCCAACAAGGCCAAGTAGACGGGTAAGATTAGCTGGTTTGCTTAGGAATTTTGTTTTTATATGATGTTATTTTAATGTAAATGTTAGCCATGTGAAATGAAGTAAAAAGCTTCCGGAAAACGAGACATCAATGCCGCCAAGAAACGCGTAGATCTAGTATTTTGGCATGATAGAGGCCTTGTGGATTAAGATAAGGTTCTCAACAAATCACGCAGCAGCATATCATAAACTGTAATCGTATAAAGCCATGCAAAGTTACAGTGGTGATAATATATACTTTTCATGAATAGCTTTAATCATCTCTTTCTTCTGTTCTGTGTTTCAGGTTATTCCTGTTGCGGGACAGTCAGAGTAATGTCAAGGCATTCGTGCTCACCTTGTGCCACCACCAGAAGATCAAGCACTTCCAGATCCTACCGGTCAGTCACATGACACAACACGGTCACATGACACAACACGTCACATTACACTGCAGGAAGCACGCCATGCTCACTGACATAAGGCAGATCACAGTAACACCAGCAAAGAGGTTATTTCCTAGATTCTTTGAGAAACAAAAGGTTTTCCCTTTCCTGTAGTGTGTTATACAGGTTTGTGTGCATGTAAATGGTCTGTGAATGCTAAATTCCCAAAGTCAATTTATTAATGTTTTATTCTATAATGTAGCAACCATTACAAAATCCAATTTCCTCCAGGGATACAATATCCCCAGGAAATAATCTGATGATGATTTTGAAGATAAAACAAAAGCATTTTCCAACTAATGTTCCTTCAGTAGCTCAGAGGGATGAAGTGTCTTATCTCCATGTGATGTTAACCGTCTCCTCCCCCCTCAGTGTGAGGAAGACGGTCAGGTGCTCTTCAGCCTCGACGACGGCGCCACAAAATTCACCGACTTGATCCACCTTGTGGAGTTTTACCAGCTAAACAGAGGGGTGCTGCCCTGCAAGCTTAAACACCCGTGCACCGCCGTGGCCTTGTGACACTCCTCAACCCCGACACCTCCACCCCCTTTTTTTGCACACCTCTCTCTAACCCTGAGATTCCGCCGCCCCCATCTGCCCCTTCCTCACCGACGAAGGTGAGGGGATAGAGAAGTCGAGTTTGAGGATGTGAACTCGCCGGGCATTGGAGATTTTTCTGATTTCCCCCAATGTGGCAGCGCTTTCCTCCAGGCTTTCCGCTGTCTGGTCAAGCGTTGCAGATCGAGGACCCGGCAGTCGGCCAACGTTGTCATGGAGACTCGACTGTTTTGTCATTGCTGTTGGAGAGAGGCCATGTGATGTGAAAACACGAGACGGCGAAAGTCTGTTTGCAGGATGGCTGCGGGTCTCTAGGATGGACCCCTCCCTCACCCTTTAACCTCCCACATCCTCCAGGCCTGATAAGCTGTGGTGCCCGCCCCACCCTCAGTCCTTCGAGGGGGGGGGGGGGGGGGGGGGGGGTGCCACCCTCTGACTTCCTCATCAATCATTAGGGATGGACGGGGAACCTCTCTGGATCTTATCAAACTCAATCCAGGAGTTTCCTCAACCTTTGCAGTCCAGTCTGGATAAGCTGACACCCTGTCCCCCCTTCCAAAAACAGAGTCGATGCAGCCTCTCTGCTGTCCCACAATCCCCTGGTGCAAACTCCCTCCCCCCCCCATATCCTGCCCTCTCCTCCTCCACAGAAGCTCAGAGAAAAATTGGGCAGAAAAGTAGCTGAGATAAGCAGAGCAGTGGCGAGGGTTTGCTGAAAGGACAGAGGAATGTTTATCAGGAGAGGCTGCAACAAGCCTCTCTTGTAGAATTGATTACTTGATGTCATTTTAATGCTGTTTTTATTACTGTTGATTCAATGCAGAACTAGTTTTGCACTCCCGGGCGGACAGACGACAGCTGTCCTCTCTAGCTAAATGAGGCTGTCTGCTCTCCGTTCGTCCTCCTCCTCCTCCAAACCTTCCCCCCCTTCTGAAAAGCATGCTATGAATTTCCAGCAGTTCTGATTGGATTACAGTGGCGTGGGAGCAAAGTTAGGCCCAGCAGAGTTAGGGCTGATTATGCCGTGCCTTTCAGAAAAAGGTTTGGGGATATTTTGGACCTCCGTGTGGCAACAATAAAAAAAACGAATGTGCGTCTCAGGACCATGAGGAAGAGGGGGAAGACTTTTAAATAGACTCCTGAAAAGTGTGTCCACCCCCAGGCTTCTACCATTTTTATTTTATTTTTTAATCTAAAGGGGTTAAATCTCTTGGTGAATTTGTCTTTGAATGTCATTTTTCTTCTCCTAAGTCTCTTCTGAGCTCACTGCTTGCACATTTTAATTATTGATTTGATATTGATGGTTGGAGCTGTCATGTTCGGATTCTGACCACTGTTCCTTCACTCCAGAAAAGACAAATCAACAAAAGCACTCCCACACCGTTTATCCTTTTTTATTTCTTTCTTTGTTTGTTTTAATATGGAATTGATCAAATGACTTGAAATGTGAACTCAGTAGATTGTGCGTCAACACACAGTGGAATGAGATTCACTCGCCTTAAGTGAAAATTGTGAGCCTTGTCTATGAAATCGAAGCTATATATTATAATGCACATACAGTAACATATTTCAGATTTCAAGAGGATGGAGTGGTATCAGGATAATGTAAAATGGCCAAGAGTTAGATGGAAAGATCGATACCACTCTCATGTCTGTACGCTGAATTTAAAGCTAGCAAAAAGCGGCTAGTTAGCTTAGCACAAAGACACAACAGCCAGGCTCTGTGTAAAGGAAACACAAATCCAGCACATCTGAAGCCAGCTAAGCAACACGTTATGATATAGCAACATATCTCTGTCTGTCTGTATGTCTGTGGGTATGTATATCCACATGTCTCGAGAACGATTTATCCAATCTGCTCCACATTGAGCTTTTTTGTATTTGGGCAAAAAGTGTCTCTCTCAGAAAAATAATTGGCCCTAAATGCCAGGCCCATGTGTGCATCGATTTGTTTCGACCAACTCCGTTTTTTCGTTATTTTAAACAGAACGTTTCTGGACCAAGCTAAAATAATTTGCTTTTTAATTTGTTAGAGTTCAATACTGTTAAGCTATAGCTTCCCCTCAAAGATAGCCTAAATTCCTTGGGTAGGGTTTATATTACAAAACATTTCATATCTTTTGAACAATCGCTAATGCAACCACATTTGGTGGAGATGTAGATATGATACCTGAGTGACCATGACTGACAAATGTGGCGTCATTTGACAAATAGATGGCGATGTAGCAGCATCATTTATCTATAACGGAAGGAATCTCTGTCTGTGTATGCATGCATGTCCCTTGCATATCTAAAGAATCATTCATCCAATTGACTTCACACTTGGGGGGTGTTTTTATGAGGACCCAAGAGAGTGCAGTGCCGAGTCTGAAGTTGATTGGATGGGCGGTTCCCGAGAAAGATACTATCAGCCATACCAAGGTCCACTAGTCTTTGTGGTCTAACCCGGGGTCATCTGCTCGAGTATTTCTCTACATTGACTTCCTTCGCTACGTAAACTAGCTGTTGGCTATTAGCTTCAGATTTAAAGTGCTGACCACAATGCCTTTATTGGGATATCTTTGACCCTTTCTTTTTAGATATGTATGACCTGGGGTCCAGTCTCTCATGTGTGAAATAAACTGAACTAAAGACATGACATTGGTATCAATCTAATCTAAATCTTGGTAAAATAGCCAATAAGTTCTTCTCCCAAATTGTCTTCTCAAAAGTAAAAGTAAACTTGAAACAGATTCAGAAAACAGCAAGTGATGCAAACGTGCATTTCGCTGCCTATTTTCTGGTTTAGTACTGTACTTACCTTATGTCTGCAGGTTATTGACTAAAACATCATGTTCACTTATTTCCAGTATCTTCCACGGGAGATTGATAGCATCAGAGGTGAACATCAGGTTGTGGTGTCAGTCCCTCACAATCAGACAAAAGGATGTTTTTTTATTGCATAGCCATTTAAAACAAATGTAGAAGGATACAGTCATGATAGAGTTGGAAGAAGCACTTTTGCCACCAGCAGTAGCCTCAGTTAACCAGAATGCCTTGCAGCCATCGTACGAGTGTCAGCAAGGGCCCATACATATCATTACTTGATAATTCAACAGAAAACTAAATGGCACCTATTTGGATGATCAATAACCTTTTTAAAGCGAATACTCTCGAATAAAATATAGTAAACTGAATATCTTGAGACTCTTGGAAGGACAAACAAGCGATTTCAAGACATTCTTTTTCATCCATTCATCATCCAAATTAACAAACGTATCAAAAAAGAAGCAATAATTGCAGCGTTACATAATTTAGCTAGCTAGCTAATGTGGCTAACGGCCAATATTAATGAAACAGCATGTTCAAGCCTATTTCTGGTGGTTGTTGCAAAGCATTCTGGGAGATTAAGTAAAAAGGATACAAGGTGGATTCAAATGTGGTCATCAAATACTAGACTTATAATTAATCACTAACAAATCAATCTTAAAACGGTTATGTGTAGAATTTGAAAAATCAAACTTTGGCACCCCCTTGTGGTCACATGGAAAACACATTCTCAAAAGAAATTCAAACATTGTGGTTTCAACATGTCATCTGAGTGGATGTTCTCTATTTAAATATGTCCCTTTCTGCCCTGTGGGCATCCAAAAGACAAGAGAGACAACCCCATATCATAGGAAGAAAAAGACTGGAGTGGAGGCAAGAGAGGACATTTTTGAAGTTCTGTTGTCTTTCCGGCCCAATCCTACTGTCGTGTGACCAGCGAGTGAAAATACTGCAGGCATGTGACATACTGTAACAGCTACTTAGCCTCACCTGCACCTCCTCTTCCTCCTGTGCCAGACTCTCAGGGTTAGCACATGGCCGTCAGACTCCCCGCAGGGCCAACTTAACCCTTTCGATTGACTCACTGCCAGCACCAGTCGACCAATCACGTGACTTGAATGACTCAGTAGCTCTGCGCTCCACCAATCAGGCCTTTTTAGTCAGCCAGGGCAGACTCTCCCCAGGGATTGGATAATGCTTGAACCCCCCCCTCCCCCCCTTTCCCACCTGTGTCCAGCCTGTTAAGCTATGGTGAATATGTGTGAGTGTGTGTGGATGTGTGTGTGTGGCTAGACTGTTATATTCACTATTCAGGATTCTTCTGGTTATCATTACTTGCCTTTTTAGAGAGGAAGGTTGCTTGTCGGTTGGGTAAAGTCAAGCTAAGCCGAGGATTAAAGGAGGCAGGAGCATTCCCAGTTTTTAAGTGTGAGGTTCATTTCCTGTCTGTTAGAGAGGGAGGAAACAACCGTCCGCCCTTCATTTTTTTAAATCACTGTGCTAGAATGCAATCCTATACACAAGCCCAAGTATATGAATATACCAGTATACAGTATGTTTTCTAAGTATGTGAAGCTATGGAAGACGTAGATCTAACACTGTACCTAGGTCACAGATCACTATGTATGGGGCGTTATGCTTTTGCTCATAACTCCGTGTAAAATGAAGAATGATTTATTTAGTCCTTACTTTCCATTATTTGTGTGTATATTGACATTACTGTGTTTTTTCTTTGGTTTGACACAAAACAAACTTTTATATAAATATAAAAAAAGAATATACCACAATATATACAGTATTAAATTAAGCTGTTTCTGTTTTTAAGAGATCAAACTGGATTTTTGGCACGTGTCAAATTTCTGAACATCAGTGGTGTGTATAAGCTGACTGCCAGCATCCGATTCTGATGCCATTTTCTTTTAAAACCACGTGTTTTTTCAAATGTTCCCGCTTTGTCATTTAAGGAAAACACTCCTGTAAATGATTGGATTTTACACACATACACACACACACACACATTGGTGTTTTCTTCACCTGAGAGCACACGCACACCTAACGCCTAACCCTTCAGGATATTCTTAGCAGCTTTTATACACCTTTCCACACAATTAGTGCAATTATACGCTGTAGCTCAAGAGGGTTGTGCATTTTACTATGTCCATTTACTCAGATTTTTAAGGTGCATAACAAGACATATTTTTCCTTAACTAAGCCTATCCTTGCAGCAGGTGCCTCTTGTTTGTGAACGGCATCAAGTCCTTATTTGCCATCCGTCCACTCACTGCGTTCATTTTACAGTAAGCTATAACTGTGAAGCCTACTGGAACAAAATCCTAAATTCAGGTCACATACATCCAAAATGGTGACTCACAGTGCAGGTGAAACTGACTTTATGTTAGTTGTGTTTTCTTTTATTATTTTTTTAGATTGAAGTCATCATAAGCTGAAGTCAAATAGACATTTCAGGGAAAGAAAACAAAGAGCGAATGAACCGTGATCATTTTTTCAGAAAACCCCACTGTCTTTTGCTTCATTCTGTCTGTGCGGCTCCTGGATCTACATTGTATCCTGTTCAGGTATTTTTGTACAAATAAGGGACTGATATATTCTCTGTTATTGGAAATTAGAATAAAAGACAACATTGCTATAAACCAAAAATGTCTGGCCTGGTGATGTGTGTTTTCTTCCTGTCCCATACATTTAAAAATGAGTAAAAGCATCTTCCTGTTCAGACTTTAATTGGGAGGTTTAGAGTACATGAAGGCTAATTTTTTTATTTAAAAGCGGACATTTTGTTATCAATGCAACATGGTATTACTACCTTGGAAAATATCATGAAAAGTCATCTTATCGTTCTTTTTTAATAATAGAAACATGTTATAGTATGTTGAAAATATCAAGGTAAAAGTAAAAGTGTAGCATGTCAGAAAATATGAAAAAAGTTAGTTTAGTTGAAAAAAATGTTTTAAAGAAAGTCATATTATTGTATGTCATAGTACAGAATGATGAGAAAAGATTTAAAGGGCCCATGTCATGGCCATTTCTACTGATCATAATTCCATTGTTGAGGTCTACTAAAATAGATTTATACTGTGCAATTTTCCAAACTCACATTGGTTTCTCATACAGCATCTCTGTAAAGTATGTGTATTCACTCTCAGTCCTAAACGGCTTGTAGGAGCTCCTGCCCCCCCCCTCCCTGTGAGCCCAGTGTGCTCTGATTGGTCAGGACGTTGCGAGGCTCGTTTCTGCGATCTGCTGCGAGGAGCGGACAGGCTTCCGGGTCGTCGATACAGCGCGAACAAGCGAAACTCATCCTGAGCACACACAAACACTCACAGCCGAAGTAAAAACAATAAGTGTTGCTTGATATTGAGTAAGAAAAAGGTTTATAACGCTGTGAGAATGGGTCTGCGGAGAGCATTTCTCCGCGATCCCAACTTAGCAGCCCGAAAAACGTTTACCCATTTAAACAGTCGTGGTAGATACCTTGTTTGTTTTAAACATCATAAATACACAAACAACAATGAATACTTACAGGTTGTGTACCCGAATCTCCCGCTGGTCCAAACAAAGTAGGAACAGCATCATTCTTCAGTGCCCTACGCTGTACATATCCGGCATGAAGCGCTGAAAGGTTTGTGAAGCTTTGTTTCGTGAAATGCTAGCAGAGGGTGTGGCCTCTGGGTATTCACACGTCAGAGTACCCAGGAAGAAAACAATGGAAAATGAGAAATATCCAACGAGGCGTTTTGGGGCAGCATAGACTGTGTTAGAGTTTTACTCCCTACAGGGTGTACTTTGAGGGTTTTTGACGCTGCAGACCGTTTACATGCATAAAAACCTTCATAACACACAAGGGGACGGGTAATAACCGGAAAAGCATGACATGGGACCTTTAAGTATAGTAAATCGAACATTTCTTTCAAAAAGTCATATTATAGTTTGTCAAAAATATGAAGAAATGGGTACCACTTTACAATAAGAATACCCTTATAAAGGATTCATAATTAGGTTATTAATTAGGTTGTAAACACTTTATTAATCATTAAGAACCATTTATAAACCAGTTCTAATAGTTTTCATACATCAACACAGGCTCACTATTTGACAAGATGACTAAGCCTTATATTGGCTACCTAGCTTACTTCGTGTTCTTCATCAGCCAACATCCTTGGTATCCGTTGTTCACTGAGTTGATCCCCTTCCATCTTGATGTTTCTTGGCATCTCTTTAGGACCATTTACAGTTACAACCATTTATAATTTACAGTTACAACCATTTATCATTTGTTTAAGTTATATTAAAGGTGGGGTAGGTAATTTTGGAGAAACCAGCTCGAGTGCGCTAGAATTTGAAAATACACAGCCGGAGAAAATCTGCCACTTCCTTATAGAGCCCTTCCTCCAACACACACGAACGCGCACATGACCAATGAGGGCACGAGATAAGATTGTGCACAGATGGAAGGCTGACAGGCAGGTAGGCCATCCAGTTATTTTAGCCGGGCCGGCTCAGATGATTGGTCGTGCTTTTTACAGTACTACGGCTTCCACAGATGACATTTTTTAATGGATGTTTTGTCAAAGCACTTGAGATATTCATTGCTATCGGGATGTTAAGAGCATTCCATGGAATATAACAAAAAGTGTATCTCGAGCCGGTTTCTCAAACTTACCTACCCTACTTTAATGTGTTGCTTAATGGCCTAATTAGTTGCCTAATGCCAAACATAAGCTTTTATGTTTAAATATGTGTATCAGTCATAAACAGTCATTACTATGAGTCCTAATTTTCTTCATTTGTGAATACAATTTTTTGCTTGGTTCTGTTTGATCTTACTTTGCATTTCATGTGAAAAATGTGCATTAGGTAAGTGTGAATGTTATAACTCATTCATAAATGGACATGTGTATTCAACTTAAAAACAACGCACCCTTTCAGTCGTTATAAATGTTAGTGACTCATTAATAAATGGGAATGGGTTTTACACTTTACAATAAGGCTCCCTTTTGGCAGTTATAAATGTTAGTTACTCATTCATAAATGGTCATAAGAGATGCCAAGAAACATCCAGATGGAAGGGGGGAGAATCAACTCAGTGACCAACAGACCCAAGGATGCTGGCTGATGAAGACGAGGTAAACTAAGTAGGGCTTAGCAGTACAGATAAATGTGGCTGGCAAGCAACCGGTCGCAGTTGCCCTGTTTATCTCATGTCTTATAAAAGCTTATTCATGATTTATAAAGTGTTCACAACCTAATTAATAAATGAATTACAAACTATTCGTAAACCCTTTATAAGGGTAGTCTTATTGTAAAGTGGTACCAAGAAAGGTATAGAGATAAGTGTAGAAAAAGTTGTCAAAGCAACAGGATAAGTCATAGTGTAGCTTTTGAAAAATATGAAAGAAGTTATAGTTTAAAGGTGTATTGTATGTAGAAAGAGTCATAGCTGGTTTTCACTTGTTTTTCTGGGATTATCCTATTTTTTTTTTAGATAATATTGTTATTAAAATGCTTATTATTAAAAAAAGGCTCATTATTTTCTTTAAGACTGCAGTGCTGACTACCATCCAGAAAGCTCAGATCCTCCTTCAGTCATGCAACAAAGAGTGTAGCTGTTAAAATAATAAAACACAAACATAAAGAAACAAAATGTCAAACAGGGTTCAAATATGTTCATTGTGTTTAATTTCCAAATAACTGATGGCAAAATGAGAATATTTACAAGAGGGAAAAATATGTATGATCTGTACAAAGAAATAAACTTGCAAAGATAAAAAACAAATAGCAAACATGTAATTTATGAAACAAACATGACAAAAAATGACGAGACAATAAAAAAACAAGCCTATTCGAGGTATCCAGTCCAAGTGTCCTTGTGAAATGGCCTGTGCACACCTTTAAAAATAAATAAAAAGGTAACAGCGGACTGTCATTTCTCTTCGTGGTCAGTTGAAAAATGCCATATTAGAAAATGGGTATAGTTAAGTGGTTATACCAACGCTATCTTGACTTTTTATTTCCCAAAAAACTATCAAAAAACATAATTCAATTGCTGTTTTAGGGTACTTTTTTGTGAATGTATGGAAGGAATATTTTGGCAACAATCTGTATCTGTACATAAAGTCAGAACACCATTTAGTAAAATTATGAAAAATCTCCCATTTAAGTCTTAAAATAAAATGGCAATGCTAATTTTCTGTGACAAATAAATCTCTTTCTTAACTCCCCTGCCTTTTTCAGAACGGGCAAATCAAAGTGTTTAACTCGTGTAAACAATCATCCCACGTGGGCATCCGTTACCAGCGATAAAACATATTTCATTAAGTACTATAAAAGCTAGAGCGACTTTGGTGTACCAATACTACAGAGGCATACAGTAAAAAAAAAAGTGTTAAATATATTTTTTGTTCGAACCGTAATGATTGCAAATGTGTGACCTCTAACACGGCCTGGAAGTCGTAACACAAAATAAACACAAACTACCAGCAGTGCTTGCAGTACCAAGTACATGCTTTTCTCTAGATTTATTACAGATACAACAGATGTCTTCATAAATAGTTGCATAAAATGTTAAAGCCGCAACATTGCACATGATAATCAAACATAACATACAATGAGTGCATTTACAGTAATTTCTCTTCCTCTGCCTCCACATTCACTCCCGTCTGATTCGCCGCCACTGAACGCCGCGAAAAGTCTCGCGTCCCGCCCTCCGAAGGGGGGGGGGGGACCCCGCTGTGAATGTGAGGGGAAAGAAGGCAGAGGGCTATGTATATACAAGGTAAGGCTTAAACATCTCATATCTGCGCAACACAAGTTTTGTTCTAGGAAAAGCAAACGATGGATGTCTGTTGTTCTCAGATCGGACAGTGCAGCATCGCGACATGATCATCACCGTATCTTAGATTTAGGTACATTATATAAGCGCAGCCATCAAAAAGCTCTGACGTATAAATGTCTCAAACACCTCGGTTACTGTCTCCGGGCGTCTACAGCGACTTTTTCTACAATGGATTCCTTTTCCTTGGAAATGTAGAGACAGTACTTTTCCTTTTTTATACATTGTTTCTATAAGAAAGGGCTGCTTCTCAAAAGTCTTTGAAATGCAGTTTAGTGTAAAAGAGCACAAACACACAATGTCTGTGTCCCCCTGGCAACAGGAGGGGGGGGGGGGGCAGTTTGCTCTCCGCGTCGAGGCTCCTTCAATCGGCTCCTCGGTCAGCTCTAACTCTTCAAATGGAAAATAAATAACTTTTTTTTGTTGTTTTTTTTTGTTCACTTTACTAGAAAATCTGTTTAGAGTTGAAAGCAGCAAGCAGCAGTAGACAAGGGCATCCGTTCATTTACGTGATTGGTGAGAACTTGGTTCTCGAGGACTCTGATTGGTTTAGACCTACAGGTCTAATTTGTGAAAGGACTACAGGACTTTAGCAACATTCTGTGAAAGAGGATCAGATCAGCATTCATTATTTCTAGCTTCTACACCATCAAGATGCTCCAATCCAGAGGAGCCTGCAGCCCCTACAGGACAGACCCTACAGGACAGACCCTAGAGGACAGACCCTACAGGACAGACCCTACAGGACAGACCCTACAGGACAGACCCTACAGGACAGCCCTTACAGGACAGACCCTAGAGGACAGACCCT